TTGCTTTCCAGATTGTGACATTGTTTCTAGTGAAACTGAATGTCCGGAGGGAAATAATGTAGTGCAGGCTATTTTTTGGTTCATTATGATTTCACTGAATTGTTAAAGTGAGTTCTGATTTTTATGTGGTTTAATGTGCACTGATAAATTGTGTTCATAACTTTAAGTAAACAGGGTCAGTTTTGATTTCATGATGTCTTTAAATTGAATGAGAAAAGTTAAGTATACAATTTGAGCTTGTGGGAAAACAAGCCAGTTGGGTTCAAGCGTTTAAACCCAAAACATCATCAGCAAGGCTTTATTTTGCTGTAATCAGAAGCTGTGTGGTCTGGGATACATATTTCACACAGGCTGGTTTGCACACGTGAAACCGGTTTACACAAATAGTAATAAAAAAAGTCATTTTAAAAATTTAACTATTTTTTACTCTTTTAAAAAGAAAATGTGTGATTTTATTTACCAGATCTTTATCAGTTAAAATGGTCCTTTCTGTCTATCAGGTCGTCTTAGTAAAGCTCACAAGGACAAAGAGAGAGAAAAAGAGCAGGAACAGCAGAGGGAACGAGAGCAGAGGATAAACAGCAAAGATGACAGAGGAAAGACAGATAGAGATCGAGAGAGGGGGAAGGACAGAGACCGAGATCAGAAGAAAAGAAAACACAGAGAATCAAGTGCAGACAAGTAAGACAGGCACTCAAGAACACAGTATTTTGCATGTATATGTTACTGAATCAGTATTTAATTGCATGAACTTGCTCTTCGTCCCAGAGAGAAGCCTCCTCCAGCAAAGGAGTCGCGGCCCTCACCTCCAGCCCCCTCATGGCTCCAAAGAGACCTCCATGTGCGTTTCATCGATAAAGCATTCAAAGGAGGCAAATACTACAACTCAAAGGTGCTTCTATTATAGTGAGCCTGGTTAGTTTCGTAAAGTATCTGTTTTTATGCTGAGAGATACTAAAGTGTCTGTATTGGTGTTTTGGAGGGAAACACACAGGATGTGTTCTTGTCTTCATAAATAAGCTGAACACATTTTGACACAAAATATTAGTATACATTTAAGTTATACATTTTTGAATTTGTTTCATGTGTTTAGATGAGAGTGGAGGACGTCCTGACGCCCCACACCTGTGTGTGTCGTACAGAGGAGGGCAGACTGCTGGACGGTATGACACACTCTGACCTTGACCATTATAAGAGACATTTTAACAGTGAGGCTTTTTGGTCTAATAGCTGGTTGTAAGTTTTACTCATTTGTCTATTTCAGATATTAGACAGAAGATGCTAGAGACCATTGTACCCAAGAACGACTCAGACTACATTATGGTGGTTCTGGGAGAACACAAAGGACAGGTATATGGATTCACTTGCTTGTGTAGTACAGCATGGCTCTGTGCCAAATCCTAGTGGGCTGCCTACTTAGACAGCATTGTAAGCATCATAGACACACTCCTGACATCATGTTGATGATAATAGCCAAATTTGTTAATGTTAACTAAAACGATTAAATATCATTTTTGATAATTGAAATAAAGCTAAAATAAAATATAAATATCAGATGAGAA